AAAAAAAAAAAAAAAAAACAGCCAGCAGATCACTTAGGTTTGAGTTCAGGTAAAGATGCCAGACCCAAAATTTAGAACAAGACCCACTGATGCTGTATGGAGATAAGTTTGGGAAAACTTGTAGGTAGACATTTCAAGCACCTATTCCCTTAAGAGGAGATGGCAACATGTGACTAGCTTTGCAGGGATTTGTGCAGTGGAGTCATTATAAATATTTGGGGACATAACCCTAATCTTCTGGGTGAATGACCAGCATTTTTAGCTGGTTCAGTGAGCCCTGGTTTTGACCCAATATGGTAACTAATGAATTCTCGGGAATCTGGAAATATTCTAGTCCACAAGTGATTCAGGGACCTGGAGACTGAGGTCCACGGTTGAAAGCAGGTTTTAAACACAAACATTTTTGTGTTTATTTTTTTAAGACAGTCTTGTTGCACTGGGCGATGGTGGCACACACTTGGGAGGCAAAGACAGGTGGATTCTGAGTTCAAGGCCTGGTTCTACAGAGTGAGTTCCAGGGCAGAGCTACACAGAGAAACCTTGTCTCTAAAAACCAAGGGAAAAAAGACAGTCTTGTACCCACACACATTGTGGTGTCAACGGGGCTTCTGGCCACAAACTTAAGATCCTTCTGCCACAGCCCCAAAGTGCTAAGGCCACAAATGCAAGCTACCATGTCCAGCTCGTGTTGTTGGGCATTGGTTTGTTTTTGTTGTTGTTTAAAATTTATTTTGTGTGAGTCTGTCACAGGCAAGCATTAGACCTGCAGAAAGCCATATCAGATGTGACAAACTGCATGCACTATAGAGAAGTGCAACTCTGAAAGTCTGCTGCAGCTCCTATTGGAAGCACAGCCCAGGAGACTAAGTGTGCTGCACTGCAGAGACATGGGTGCCATTTGCACCTGTCCCAGGTGCCCGTTTACAGTACGACGGCTCTGACAGGCATCACTAGCAAGTTGTTGATGTTAAAGCCATACTAAAGATTTCAGACAAGACTGAAGTCCAGTTCTGGCTCTGTTTCTTTTCAACTCGGCTTGCTCAGAGCCTCTCTGAACATTAGTTTCGTTATTTTCAAAGCTAGCACCTCCAACCTAAGATAGCATGAGTGTGGTCATAGACCACAGGGTCACACTGTGGAAAGGCTGGATGGAACTAGTTTTTTTGTTTGTTTGTTTTTGGGATTTTCGAGACAGGGTTTCTCTGTGTAGCTTTGGAGCCTATCCTGGAACTCGCTCTGTAGCCCAGGCTGGCCTCCATCTCAGAGATCCGCCTGCCTCTGCCCAGTGCTGGGATTAAAGGCATGCGCCACCACTGCCCAGTGGAACTAGTTTTAAGTGATCTGGATTTCCTTTTAAAAAAGTTTTATTACTAATTGTATAAATTCTTTCCATGATCCTGATACATATATTGTAATCAGACAGCTTCTGTACGTACTTCTGCTTCCTGTTAATCTTTTACTACCCTGGTATGAGGATCCTGCTGTGTGTGCGTTGAAACAGGTTACTACTGCATTCTTGCAGCCAGAGTGGTTTATTAACTGCTTTAATTGCAATTTTGAGATCTGTGTCAGCTTTAGTTCAGAGGGTGCATACTGCTCATTTGTGTTACTCCTATGTCTTATAATAGATCAGAAATGTCTTGGGACCAAATACAGGCACATCTATGAGGTGTCTGGGATAGCTCACAATTTGCCATCTATATGGACGTACTCCATTCTCAGATTTGTTATTCTAAAATACAAGCTTCTTCAACAAAAGAGATAGGCAATTACTTTGCTAACTCAGTCAAAAATTTTGTAAAGGATAATTCCTTATAGTGCATTCTTAAATCTAGGGATCATCATGGGAATAATCATCCTGCTCTTGTTTTCCCTTCCAGTCACCTTCAGACGTTTAGGATCTGCTATCCATTCAGCCCAGGGAAAATACATATGCTTCAATTGAAAAAAAAATTAAAAAGGAAGAGATGCTGGTGTCTGTGTCAGCAGAGCTGCAGGCAGTAATGGAGCTTACGGGATACAACCCGGAGGATAGCAGAGCTGCTCTGGTGCATCCTGGAGCACAAAGCCCCCGGAGGATTGTCCCCAGAGCGCCCCTTGCTTCTGCTGTGCTTCCTCCTGCTTGCTGTGGCCAAGTTTCTGCTGTATTCGGCCTGGGGGGTCACCATGTGAAGGATCCCACGTTATCTAGTACAGTGTGACTGTTTCCTGGGGAAACCCACTCCTCACTGGGCAGTTTACTTGCAGAGCACAATGCAAGTGATTTTTATAAGAGCAATGATGATTAGTTAGTTAGAGCTGTGATTTAATTGGGTTTTCTGAGTTAGCCTAAGATACAGGTGGTTAAGACAGTAAAGATGATTAAGGAAATGGTTTAGGTTATTCTGCCAATTGCTCCAATAAAAGATACAAAAAAGGGAAATATAGGCTAAAAGTTACCTTCCCCTTTAGATGTAAGACTTACAGAAGATGAAAACAAGTTTCATGTATTATAGACCCATGAATTCTGCCTGTGGAAAAACAGGCCGATGATCAAAGAAAACAATTATGTCCCTACACCCAGGGTTTGGCCTGAGTTCCTTGGTCATATAACTTACAGAATTAATCACAGGCCCTAGAATGCACCTTGAAAAAAACAAAGTTGTGAAAGGAACTTAAATGATCCTATTGTGTGTAAAGGAAAATAGATGGTGAACTGACCACTTGTTTAATGTTCCTCTAGAGTAGAAAATGGAAATCTGCTGCACAGAACTGCAAACAGCCGCCTGCCGGTACAAAAGGAACTGGCTGAAATAGATTTAGCTTGCCTAAAACTTTGTTAATCAGTTAATAGAGAATCATTGCTTTGGGGTGGATAACAACATTTAACTACTTGTGGGCTTCTAAGAAAAACATATAACGTGTGTTCTTAATGTGATTTCTTATGTTAAGATTTTAATTTGTTTTTACAAAATGTGACTTATGGTTATGAGATAATCCTTTTTTTATTTATTTATTTATTTTATTTTACAATACCATTCAGTTCTATATATCAGCCACGGGTTCCCCTATTCTCCTCCCTCCCACCCCTTCCCCTTACCCCCAGTCCACCCCCCATTCCCACCTCCTCCAGGGCAAATCCTCCCCCGAGGACTGCGATCAACCTGGTAGACTCAGTCCAGGCAGGTCCAGTCCCTTCCTCCCAGACTGAGCCAAGCGTCCCTGCATAAGCTCCAAGTTTCAAACAGCCAACTCATGCACTGAGCACAGGACTTGGTTCCACTGCCTAGTTGCCTCCGAAATTGATCAAGCCAATCAACTGTCTCACCTATTCAGAGGGCCTGATCCAGCTGGGGGCCCCTCAGCCTTTGGTTCATAGTTCATGTGTTTCCATTCATTTGGCTATTTTTTTTTTTTTCAATA